TGGGTGCACATCTCGGAATAGCTTCATCCGTTAGCAGTTTCTTTGGTGGTGATGGTGGCCTGTTGGGAAAGAAAGAAACTTTGGAGCCATCTCCAAGTGAACCAGTTGAGCCACCAAATCCTGTGCTGCCGCCACCAGCTGAAGACACTAGGTTCAGACGAATCATGCGAGGAGGTTTCACCGACATGCTCCGAGGCAAAGTGAAAAGTCAAGACGATTCTCCGAGCTTATGACATGGGAGACTTCTCGTAGGGCACCATTCAGGCATGTCTTCTCCTTTCCTTTCTCAGTATAGTCTCTAGCGAAGAACCTTTTCTGTCTTTGCATGAAATCAGAATACCATGTCGAATAAGGTTACATTCTTTCATTAAATTATTTTTTTCACCTTACCTCACTTTTGTACCCTACTTCCAATAGTGAAAAGAAAAAAGAAAGAATATTGTATCCTAAGAAGTAATGTTTCATTGCATTACATATGTGTAAAACGAAGATATCCGCACAATTTAGGATCTCTTTAATGCCTTATAGTCATCTCTTTCCCTTGCTATATCAGCATGTTACTCGTTTTGCTCTTCATTTCACCCATTTGATTTGGTATCCTTCTGTTTATATTTTATATCTTGATAGTTTTGAAAAATTAATTAAAAAATATTATATATAGGAAGCAATGCATGCGACTTCAAACCGCCCTAAAAGATAAGACGTTTTCCATTTTATAAGAAATTTTGTACCAGAAACAATCGTATCTCCAATTATAGCTCAACGGTATGTAAATTATATCTTTTCTCACTATCTTCATAGTGTATGAGACAAATGTATGCATTTTGATTAGAGTCGTATTCTATGGTTACGATTCTACCATGTCTTTTTCATTCACTCAACAATCGATTTTACGGTATAGACGTTTATGACCTTTCCCGCTATGGCATGTGGTAATGATTCCTCTAGTCTTACAACTTTTGCCACAACGATGTCGATCATAGAACAAATTACTTTGTGGATTGGATGCCCCCTTCCATTGTTGTTTCACACAGATTTTCACCTTTGATATTTCTATGCCTCTTTTTTAATAAAATAAAAAAATTAATTAAAATAAAAATAAAATAATGTTGACCAAGATTAATAACAATAATCTAAGGAGAGGCATTTTATCTCCTTCCGGAATGCAAACACGTAATGAACTATGGTACTCATTTACACGAATGATGTTGGGGTCTTGTGATCAAGATCTAGAGTCCATGAGAGTCCATGACCTCCGATCCATAATGAACCTCTCAAGTAGTGTTATATGAACTGGATTGAATGTATAACTATCTCCAAAAGAGCCATCAAAAGCCTAGTTGAGAAGTGGCAACGACCACATCCAAGCAAACACGGTAGTCTTCCTAACAAGGAGAAATATAATTAGAAGAGATCTCACTAAACAAACATAGTAATGCTACCCTAATGATTTAGTTCGACACTCTAAACACTAACTTAAACATAGAAATGTCCCACATAGGTGTGAGCGGATGGGTGGCTTACATTCACCTAAATAAAGTTTGTCTGAAATCTGCGAGGACAGCGTCACATGAGTTAACGATAGGCGAATGCTGACTCTAGCCCTCACATGACACCAAAGGACGTTTTGCTGTTTGGCAAGCAGCCCGAAAATGTACGAAGTCTCTTTCAGCGCTTCTATTCAGGGGCCAATGTTCTGGCAACCCGACAAAAATTTTAGTATTCTGCTCCAAGTTTTCACGCCACAAAATCTTAAGCACTTGCATGAGAATAACCCAACAACCCCATTTGAGTGTTACTGAATTCTGCAACAGAGGAAGAGCAATCCATGGCTTTGGTTCTCTCAGCCGCTCTTCTCCCATTTTCTTCCTCTCTTCTGCAACGCCTTCCCAGAAGCACTTCCAAGCTCCGAGTCGTTTCCAGCCATGGCGGTGGTGGTGTCGAGCTAATTGCAGATTCCGCCGCCCCTTCGGCCGAAAGGGTAAGTTTCGGGTTCAAAAATTTGGCGGAGACTTTTTGGGTAAATGTGCAGAGGGCTGAGGGGAGACCATTCAGTGTTGGGCTTAATTCGCCATTGTATTTTGGGGATTCGAAGCTTGAAACGGTGGAGAATGTTGCAATCAGAGTTGAACTGAAGAATGGGTGTGTTGGTTGGGGGGAAGTTCAAGTGCTTCCGTCCGTTACTGATGTGAATCTTGAAACAGTTCTTGCGAAGGCTGAGCAGGTCTGCAGCTACCTCCGCCACACTCCGCCGGCGACTCTTAATTCGATGTTTGATGATATTACTGGGCTTCTTTCCCCTCGGGAGTTTGCTCCGGTGAGTGAAATCTTACTGAAAAATTCTTCCCTTATGGATTTTGTTTCTATTCTTGGGTCGATTTCACTGAAAGGAATTGAATGGATGTGTTTATTTAGTTAGTTTTGTGGGGATATTAAGAGTAACTCTTTAAATGGTATCTGTTTTGTAAAGATGAGGGCTGGGGTAGAGATGGCATTGATCGATGCAGTTGCTAATAGCATCCGTGTTCCACTTTGGAGATTATTTGGTGGAGTGACTAGTACATTGACAACCGCAATAACAGTTGAGTTCGATGAACTTCTGCGCTAAAATGGTATCTTTTTTTTTTTCTTGGTTCTTGAATGAACAATTTCATTTTCCACTTTTCTTTGTAAAATTTGTTACTGCAGGTTCCAATTGTTTCCCCAGCTGAGGCCACAATCTTGGCGTCGAAGTATTACAATCAAGGATTTGGGACTCTTAAGCTTGTTGTTGGAAAAAACTTTGCTGCAGAACTTGCAGCTATTGAGGCTATTCATGCAGCTCTACCCTGCTGCTCATTCATGTTTGATGCAAATGAAGGGTACACAGTCGAAGAAGCAATTAAGTTTCTTGAGAAATTGAAGGGTAATATTTTGACAAGATATAAAATTCTTTATTGTGTAGTCACAATAAATTGTGACATCCTACCTCGGTTGGAGAAGGGAACGAAAAATTCTTTACAAGGGTGTGGAATCCTCTCCCTAGCAGATGCGTAGTAAAAATCTTGAGGGGAAGCCCGTAAGGAAAAGCCCAAAGAGGACATTATCTGTTAGCGCTAGGCTTGGGCCATTGCAAATGGTTTTAGAGTCAGACATCAGGCGGTGTGCCAGCGAGGACGCTAGACCTTGAAGGGTAGTGGATTGTAAGACCCCATATCAATTGGAGAGAGGAACAAGTACCAGCAAGGACGCTGGGCCTCGAAGGGGGGTGGATTGTGAGATCCCACGTCGATTGGAGAGGGGAGCAAAGCATTCTTTATAAGGGTGTGGAAACCTCTCCTCTTAACATACGCGTTTTTCTCCCAAAGAGGACAATATGACAATATTTGCTATCGGTGCGAAAATTTTCAACTGCCCATCACTTGCATTTGATGTCACCGTTATGGACAAATTGTGTTAATTAATTATTGCAATGGCAGATATGGGGATAGTTCCTCTTGTTTTTGAGCAACCTGTAGACCGAGATGACTGGAAAGGTCTTCGACAAGTCAGTAACGTTGCTAGAACATATGGGATACCTGTTGCAGTGGATGAAAGCTGCCGGAGTTTGACTGACGTTCAGAAGATCATCGATGAAAATCTTGTGGATGCCATAAACATCAAGTTGCCCAAGTTTGGAGTCCTTGGAGTTCTAGAGATAAAAAATTGGCAAGAAAATCAGGCTTGACTCTTATGTTCGACAGCATGGCCGAGACGAGACTTGCAACCGGCTTTGCAGGCCATTTGGCTGCTGGAGTTGGTTGCTTCAAGTAATTTTTCATGTCTTTTTCTATCACCATTCTGCTAAGAGCCCTGGCTTGAGTGAAGTTTCTTATTCAAATTTCAGGTACATTGTTCTTGATACACCATTTTTATTAGCAGAAGATCCTGTTGTTGGAGGTTATGAAGGTAAACATTCTAAACCAAAATGAACTTTCTTGCTTACCATGACGGCGCCTGAGTCTAAGCTCTACTTTTGTCCTCAACTAGTTTCTGGTGCTGTGTATAAGTTTAATAATGCAAGAGGCCAAGGAGGGTTCTTGAATTGGGATCTTCTTCCTGGTGAGATATACTGCCATGTGTTCTTCTTACATCATCTTTCTCAGTCTTACTTTCAGTCATTTCATTGTGTGGAAGTGTAGACTAAAACTTTGTGTGGAAGTGTACACTAATACTTTGTGTGGAAGTGTACACTAATTCTGTGGCTGATATTATTCTGCAGAAGCTGGTGGGCTACCTTAAATCCATCAACTTTTGCCGGCCATCATGGTTTTCTGTAGAACATAAATGCTCCAGTTAGTCTAAACTGATGCATGGCTCTCTGCAAATGACTAAGCCTTGAAGGAGTAGACGACAAACTTCGTTGCTACTGTGAACAAACCCTTTTAAGCCATCAATTACAAAGGCCATGGAAATTGGAGAAAACGTGTGCATTATAGTAAGCCTTTTTTTATGTTAACACGAAAAAGAAAGTGTTGGTCGGTTGTATATTCATTTGATAAAACTTGGTTGAATTATTGTGATAGAACATATGCGAATATGCAATTATTAAAGACAGACTCAATAACTAAAGGGTCTAGTTAATGCTAATTTCCTTTTTCCTACTAATTTTTAACTAATTCTTAAATTACGTTGTTGGGCATAAAATGAATTATTTATAGATTGGATCGAAGGTTTGTCCATTGAAATTGGGCATGGACAAGCCTTGATTGGGCCAATACCGATGAATAAATGACAAGAGAAACTTCTCCCAACACATCAATAGCAGGTGTCGTATTAAAGATCATGTCCAAGGTTTGAGTCAAATCGACCTTACCTCTCATCTTAAGGTGAGGCAAGGAATTTCGGTGATTTTTGTCTTCTTGAATTGGAGAGCAAGAACAAGTCTTTCTTTCGACGCCGGACCCTTTTTTCCGTTCTCTCAATATATATTGAATTGACACAGAGTGAGCTATAAAACACCATTTTAATTATTTGAAAACTTTTAGTAACAAGATCATTCATACCTCACTATAATCTTACAAAGCAGATTTTAGTTTTAATCCCTTATTGAAATGAAGGCGGCTATGTATAAGAGGTCAAATTACAGTGTATACTATGCACAAACTACCATGCACACATCATACACAACGTGTTATCAAAATATGATACCATATGAAGACACCATCACAAGGAATTTGTAATGGTAGAGCTGCTAACCCAGTGATCATCTATGACAGAATTCGGCGAAAAGGCGGGTGGTGTTCTCTTTGTGATCCCGATGTCGTCTTCAACGACTCCTATATCGACAACTTTAGACATCTCAGAACTGGATTTGTCATTCTCAATCTCCCTTAGTACTCCCACCACTTCTTCCATTGAAGGCCTCATGTCTCTTTCTTGTTGAAGGCAACGGAAAGCCAACTCCGCTACTGATGTCGTCGCCCTCATAACTTCATGATTCTTGTCGAACCCGAGCTTCGGATCGATCAACTCATTCAATGCCTGACTTTGTATTTTACTCACTGCCATATTGCTCAAGTTGATATCCTGTCGTTTCCTATCGGTGTCGACAGCTCTTAGCGACGATATAAGCTCGATCAAAACTACTCCAAAGCTGTATACGTCGCTCTTAGTAGTAAGTTGATAGCATTGGTAGTACTCAGGATCAACATAGCCAGGCGTGCCTTGTGGGGCAGTGGAAACATGAGTTACATCAGTAGGGAACAGCCTCGAAAGGCCAAAATCAGCCACTTTGACAGAGCAGGTGCTGTCAAGGAGAATGTTATTGGTTTTGACATCTCGATGTATGATGTCTTTGCGATGGAGATATATGAGTGCATTCGCTGTTTCGATGGCGATTCGCAACCGAATCGGCCAACTGAGGAGACCAAACTTCACCCGTGATCCGTGGAGATGGTCGGCGACAGTTCCATTGGGAATGTATTCGTAGACAAGGAGAAGGCCTTGGCTAAATCTGGAGGTGCAGCCATAGAGCTTGACAAGGTTCTTGTGTTGTAAATCAGCAAGGATATTCACTTCATTCATGAACTGCTCCACACGTTTGCAGTTATGTTCATATAGACGCTTCACAGCAACTTCACGCCCATCATCAAGCTTCCCTGTTTCACACAAAGCACAATCAATAAACATACCTCTTGCAATATGTTTAACAAAAGATGACAAGAGTTTCATACCATAATAAACAGTGCCAAATCCTCCATCGCCAAGCTCTCGAGAACGGTTGAAGTTTTGGGTAGCTTTTTCGAGTTCGGCATAGCTGAATACTTGAACATCAGAGTTGGGGGAAGGCCTCTCAAGGTCAGATTTGGAAGAGGGGTAAGAAGGAATGCTCTGAGTCTGGAAGGAGTTCAGAAGAGGAGCGGGAGGCATATCTTTGTCGGAAACAGGATCGGAAACAGGAGGAGAAAGGGCAGCTTCTTTGCTGACATACCCAACTGGGTGCTTCTTCTTCTTCTTCCCCAAACAAAAAAAGATGCAAAACCCTAAAATGGTTGCCACCAAAAAAGCTCCTCCAACCGAAACACCTAATCATATAAAGAATGAAGTTCAAAACCTCTGTTGAGAGGCAGTGGGGGGTTCCTAAATATTTGAACTTACCAATTATAATGGCTTTTTCTGTTGCTGTATTCTTCGTCTTCTTTGCCTCTGCTGCAAATTTTTACAATCAGTTCCAACTCAATTACAGAATCAAAGTACGCATATATTCTAAAAATCATTAATAACCTAATTAGTATTATTAAAGTAATTAATAACTAATATCTGCTTGTTAATCATTAATAATCTAAATCTCTCCTAGAAAAGGGGGAAAAAAACAGATTCTAAATCTGTAAAGATCAGGAGCAGACGAGGAACACGAGAGAAACATGGACGTAGAATGGGGATGGCGCTCTAACAGCGAGGAAGGCACTCGCCGGAGCGACTTGCTCACTTCTTAAATGAGTAAGCGAAAATGGAAACAGATCTCGCCGTCCGAAGTAAACCAGGAGAATGATAGTGAACGGATGAAGCCAGGTAAATCAGTCAAAAATTATTTGATTTCGTATGTCTTTTCAATCTTTATGAATGTTGAGTTCGAAGAATCTTATGTAAAAAGGATAGAACAGCTTGGCATTTGGTGATTTGAGTTGAGTTGAGTGGTGGTGGGATTCAAAGTGCGTACTAGTGGAGCTTCAGTGTTGGCTGTCTGGATTGGCTAGTCCTTTCGGAAAACCCCTTGAAATATATCTATCATACACAAATTTAAGATTTTGTTCTAGGAAATAGAAATCATTTCAAAGTTCGTGGGAGAATTAATGGGAAGTGGAGGAACATCTAGTTGGATGCTTATTTGAATCAACTTAGCATCTGGATGAACTAATTCTATACGAAGAAGAATCGAAAAACCCCGAAAAGGACTTGAATCATACATACCTGAAGGCGGTGATCCACAAGTGGTTTTGAAAGCTCCATCCAAACAATAACAAGTGAATTCACCCAAACTTGGGTCTGAACCACACTGCCCGCCTGATTCATGACACTCATAACACACTCTATTGTCTATCCTCCACTGCAACTCAAATCCAGTTTCAAGAGCTTCTTTTAGGTTTTGCTCACTTGGATTGCTCTGTAGACTTTGCATCATTGATCTAGAAATTGCAACATCAACGCTATGGTTGCACTTCATCGTGTTTGAGATATTCCTAGCCTCGGAATTCTGGGTTACGATGAGATTAACATAATTTGTACTGTTTATGTTGCAACGAAACTGGCCAGGCAAACCAACGGGCAAGGGTGGGCAGTCATAAAATAGCTTTAGGGGCTGAGTGTTTGAGCTGTAGTAGAAGAGGTCTGAGTCAAACGTGGTGTTCTTCAAGGACTGTGGACAGATATTGTTCCAGTAATCTTTTCTAGCTACCCTCAGAGTGTGTGTGTTGGTATTGATCTCGAGAATCCGATAGGCGATGGAGTTGATTGCAATTTCTAGAGCTTCTTCTCTGCAACTCAACTCAAAACTTGGATGGCCACAGTAATCAGGTCGATTCAAACCCCAGAAAGGATAGCCGAGATTTGGATATGTGAGGCACTTCAATGATGAGTTGCAGTTCCTATATTTCTCCTCCTCGCCATCACATAAAAGAGTCAGGGGTTGGATTAGAACTGTTGCTATGAAGATCAAGGCCAGAAGCAAGGGTTTGGAGGGATTGGTAGCCATTTTTGACAGGGGAGTGTAAATTCAGAGGTGTGAAATGGAGAAGAATGAATGAAATGGTTCAGTTTATTATGAAGAATGATGATTTGGTTGAAGAACTCCAACGAAGTGGGATGTGAAGTTTTGTCAAAGGGAGGCTTCCGTAAGTGCTACACTACCGATGCCAGTCAATCAACGTTTAGCTTAACTAAACCTGGTCCTAATACAAATGCCCACTTCTTATTTGTCATAGCACCTAAACACCTCTATCTTTTTCTCTAACTAAGCAAGTAGGAAGACTGCGTCTGCCTCTACCTCTTAGTTCATCTTAGATTGAAAAAACTATAAGGCTCTTTTTACTTCACCCTCCTAAACTTTCGATTGAGAAAATGAAATGGACGACTTCCAGGTTCGTTTAGTAGCTCTTTTTTTTGAACGGGGTAAAGCTATTTGAAGAATCTTTCGAGCTTGTTAGGGACAGGTTCCGGTCACTCTTTTGATGTCATGCCATTGTGGTGGCACGGGAACGACGTAAAATTTTTCCCTACACACCTAGAAACTCCATTTCAACTTTAGACTCCACAGCTCACCCAAATGAGCGCTACTAAGTTGGCCCGACCTCATCGATCACTTGCTTAAACTGCTGTATTTGCAGTGCAATATTTGCTACAGAGTAGGGATTGGAGACTCGAACAAACCCGGACTTTGAATATGATCTTTCAGTTCTTGCAATCACCATTTTCAGGATGATTGAATAGTAATTAACTTTAGAATCATATTTAGTGAATAACAAGGAGTAAGGCGAGTCTTCTGAGGTCCCAAAACAATACAACGGGACAAAGTTTTTATTTTACATATATGCCTAATATATAAGTTCAGTGACTGGTTGTGATGGCCTCTTCTTCTGAATGATCAAGATGTTAGTTTTAAAACTTGGGATAGTTTTGTGATTATCATGTTGTGAGCTGGAAAGTGAGTAAGAAACAAAAGTAGTAATGGAAAGGTAGGGACATGGTCACTTATTCCATAGAAGACATTATCTTATGAATGCAGCAGATTAATCAGTGTTCATACATGTTAACTTTTAGTAGTTCTTGAGTGTGATGATTGGTAAGAAGCGTGAGATTGTTTGTGTGAAAAGCTAGAGAGAATAAGGATCATGTCTGAAGAAGTATTGGCTACATTTCGAAGGGAAAGCAAGAAGAAGAAGAGTTAAAGAGGAGAGGGTTTGTGTACGTACCGGGAGGAGGTGGTGCTGTTTCTGGCGCATCATACTTTGGTGGCGATGCAGCAGCCGGTCGGGAATGACAGAATTCAGGCCCTTTGTCTGCACAGCAGCATCTTGTTTGGTTCGATTGCAAGTCATAATCGTAAACGGCACCAGGAACCCAACATTGCCCACATTGTTCATTCAATTTCACCTCCCGCGTTGACTTGAAGTATTCCATGGTACGCTGCTCTACCCTTTTCCATTCGTAATCAGTTTCGTTCAACAACGATGCTGGAATTTTAACTTCGGTACTTAAACTACAGGATGCATCAGGACAAGTAGGATTGCGTGGTGGGGGAGGCCTGCAAGATTCATAAATCATCGCATAGACGAAAGCTGACGCATTTTTTTCTTTCTGTGAACAGAATCGATTCGTATAGCCGATTTCAGCTATTACTATAAGAAGTGGATCGCCCATATTAAAGCCCAGGACTTCGTATTTTTCTCCTATAATTTTCATGACTTTACGGCCGCCACTGTCCTGGCATATGGGCTTCATTGACTTGGGATTACCACCACCACAATTTTCCATTCCATTAATGTTCCAGAGAGGAGATTCCTCGGAATCGCAGTTCAACTGATCATCGCAGTTCAAGAACCATTCACCAGAAGCAGGGGAAGCACGAGACGTGGTCAAAATCAGGAGCAGAAAAGGTGAAAAAAGGCGAAAAAGAGAGAGCAGAAAGGATCTGGAATCCATTTGATTGAGTGATTTTCCGACATTAGAGAGGAAGCTTATGATATAGGAATGGGTGGGCGAAGCGGAGTGATGGAGAGATGGGAAGACGCGCAGTTGACTTCATCAATCAAAGTCTGCTGCTCCTTTTTCTTCCTTTTTTTTTTTTTTTTTTTTTT